GGCGCCCAACAGGCTCTCCTCACGTGACATCCAATCACGCGCAAAGTCCGACGACACTCGCGACTCACGACACAGGCGCCCCGCGCGCCCGCCCACGTAACGGCTAGTACCAGTGCGTGTCGGCAGGCGGCGGTCCGGGCTCGATGCCCACACCCTCCATGACGTCCATCTCGAACGTCTTCAGCTTGGGCTGGAACGAGATGATGGTGAGGTCGTCGGCGGTCGTGTCCTTGGCGTTCTCCCGGTAAGTGTCGGCCGTCTTGTAGTCGTGCGTCTCCTGCGCCTGGGTTGGCATCGGGATGATGCGGCCCGAGCGAGTGGAGACACGCACGCGCTCGCCCCCCTCGGTGAACCGCCACTCGATGCTGCACGGCGTACTGCGGACCGGGAGACACGGGTGACGACGGGACGTCGCGGCACCGCTCGCGTGACAATGGACGGATGAGGATGGACGGCACCGGCGGACGCCGTCTGGGGCGGGGTATCTGGGCGTGGCACGGACACGAGACCAAGCCGTCACACCGCCGAGACCGACCGAGGGTGGTACCTTCCGCCGTTGAAAATCACAGATCCAACAACCGGCAACAGCTGGTTGTTGCTGCACTGGTTGTGTGATTGGTTATCTCTGTCGTGTTTTGAACAATTGTAATGCCGTTACAGCACTGCTAACTTGTGAACGATACAACAGCTCAGACACATGCTAATCTGTTAGACATTCATTAAACGTGTATTGAAGTACATCTCAAATTCAATTCCAACCTGCAGGGATTAGGGCTGCAAAAAGGAAACCTTCAAATGTTCAAGTATTTAATTTTTCAATTTGAAGTGGTACCTCCTCTCCAAAGCACCTCCTCTACATTTGCTGCCAGTAGTTCGCCCGTTGCTGTACAGTAATTCTACGAAGCTATGGCTGGAACACTGGTCGTACACGAGACGAACATAAGTTACATGTACTTTACATCCGAGCGTTAACGCGAGAGATCACGGACAGGACAGTGCATAACTTCCAATATTTCCGTTATTCTGCTTCGGTTAGGGTTGAGCAGAACCACCATTTTTGCCTCATTCCTTAAAAGCCTGGGCAGCATTTCCTTTCTGGCAGACCCAATCACTTCCCGAGACTGCATCCGCCGTCATAAAGAATGTCAACACGGTCCACGCCCGTCGCCCCCACCACCCCCCTCGTTAGTCACACGGCTCTGTTGACACCCGTCTGTCTGTATCCCATCGGTCACAGATGATGTTTCAGACTAGGAAAAAACAGCGTAAACCGGGCATATCCCCGCTGTGACACCGAAGGACCGGCCTGCCTGTCACTTACTTGTCAGCGGGGTCCAGCAGCGACACCTGGTCGTCGACGAGCAGCGGCGCCTCGGAGGTGATCAACGTGCCGGGGAACTCGGACGTTCTCCCCACTCGTCGGTAGTGGGTGTTCAGGCCCTCGACCACCACCCAGTTGCGCTCCTCTATCACTTGGATGACGGTGCCAATCTTGCCCTTGTCCTTACCGACCAACACCTCCACCTAGCGGCGACAGGTCGCAGTACGAGTGCAGCAGTCGGCACTAGGCGGCGGTCAGCGGCCGGAATTCGACAACGAAGTTTAGGTAGCCCGAAGCGCAGCATTATCTCAAACGTGAACGACGTTGCCAGCAGTGAAAGTACATTTCCACAACATAGCTCACACTGATCTTTTACCGGGCCACAGTCAAACAGAAATATTGCAAACAGGCAGAAACGAGCAGTCACCATGCACAAACAAACGCAATGCCAAGGAACAGACCAGGACACGCGGTAAGCATTTCAAAACGTGTGATGAGATTCATTAAAAAGGTAGGTGAAAACGCCGTCCCGATACCATGTCGCTGGCCATTCCTGCATTCTTCAAATTATGTACAGGCCTAGGGCACATATAGACCAAAAAATAGCTGGATCAATCGCGAGATGACATAACCGACTTATTACATCCCAACCCAGCGCACTCGTCGCGCCATGCGAACCACCGTCTGCTGTGTAGGAACAACCGTCTGTCGTATAGGAACAGACGCCTGAAGACGCCCACAGACTGGTTTATGTCAGCTGTTGACGGGTGTGTGGGACATTCATAAATCATGCTACGCATGGAGGGAGAGGATTTTTATGAACCGTAATGGAAGCGTGACAAGGGAGTCAAGAGGTCTTTAACAGCGTAGCATTACGATCAGGTGTAGTTGAAAGCCATGCTGGCATCTTCACAAACAAATTTAAACCTTAAAAAGTCAGATGCCATTGGCTTCCTCTCTTGGCAGGAAACGCAGCTGTTATGTTTCTCCTCTCTGGCGCAATATTATAATACATCCTTACTTATAATATATCTATTACTTAAAATAATGTTATCCTTACATGTTACATGATGTTACAAATGTTACCCACGCAAGGTAGCCAGGGGAAGGGATCCATCCAGCGCAACCAGTGCGCAACCAGGGAGAAGGGAGATTTGAAGAATGATCAAAAATGCATACCATAATTTCTGGATGGGCCCTGTGCCTCTGAGGTTCAAAAATGAGCTTGTATTGTATACCACGTACATACTATGCACCGAGCAGGTAGTATATTCTACATGAACATAACCTGATACAGGGACGCCTCACGAGAACGCACCAACTACCGCCCGCATCCCGAGCCGTGCCCACCACTCACCACATCCCCGCGAAAGTAGTTCCAGTTGAGGATCGGCTTGACATACACCTTCTTGCGAGTGACGCGGTTCTGTCGGCTGAACTCCTCCGTCCATGGCCGGTTCATTGTAAAGCGATAGTGTTTTTTCTTGATTTCCTTTGGCTGGTACTGCACCGCCTTGGGTGTGCGCCAGCCCACTCGGCCCTGGCAATGGTTGCAAGGTCAAAAATAACAAACCGAATGGAATAAAATGACTTAATTATTCTATGATTTACTTCACAAATTAAACTATGACTTGATTCTTCCATATCACACAAATAACCTATGCAGCTGACACTTCCTTAAAACCCCAATTACTAGCCAGTTCACAGTTCCCCCATAATGAGTTACATATCTGCTACATCCCAGCTAAGTATGATGGTGGTGCACATACTAAATGAAGAGGCAGGCAACAATTATATACATGACTGCTAATCTGATAACTTTTGATCATAATCACTAGAACATTATCATGCCCCTACAGGTAAATTTCACATTCTCAGCAGCAATAATAAGTCATAGGCACATAATTTGACTGTTGAAACTGAACTAGCAGCCTGGATTGACCAATATGATAACAGAAAAACAACAACTTAATGCAAGTGCCTGATGGAACCAAAACTGGAACATCACATGAAGAAAAATAAGAAAATGACCACATACTAATACAATACAAACATCTGTATTTAGTGTTTTTCAATGTGTCATATATAATTCTACAGCATTTGTCCAAATGCATTCTTATCAGCCTAGTTTGGCACCAGTGACTGATAAGCTTCAGGGCAGATACTGTAAGTGCATTAGTTAAAATGTGTATCTGGGAAACCAGAGGAATAAGATTTGATTCCCAGTGGAAGTCAATCTTCCTCCCAGGTTGAGAGACAGGTAAGACAGTAGAGCCTCCACTGCATGGTACAGTGCAAATCTACAATGACAACAATGAGCGTCAGCGCAAACATCCATCCATAGGCCTGTGTACCTCACCTAGCCATTACTTGCATATTTCTTTCTCATATCCATATCTTACCATCTGCTTTATTCTTAACAGGTAACAGGTACGTCTTAACAGGTGCAATAGCAGCCACAACATCCAGTGGGTGCACTGGCTTGTCAATTCAATGCCATATCATACACAAACAATCTTTCCAGATTTTCCCATTCTCACTACACTTCTGATTCCCACCAAAAATAAGTTGTTCCAGGAGAGCACAGTTAATGATCAGAAAATGGGAATATTTCACAGGCATTCATAATTTGGTACAGTCATGTGATTGAAAAACAGAAGATCAAAAAGGAAGACGACTAACAAGGATCCATACCTTTTCCATTGCTCTCTTGATGTAAGATTCTGGCAGATTGCTGTAAAGTTTTGTCATCTTCCCAACTTGTGACATTAAGGCTTGAGTAATCCGCATGGTTGTTTGTGTTAAACTTAAAAGAAATATTTGCGGATGGGCGTAATTCCAACTTTCCTGTTAAGTCGCTCAATACTGTGTCAGCAATCCATATAACTCGTTGCACAAAAACATGGAATAAGTGGATGTCGTCGCAAATGATCACAACCACCAGAAAAAAATATTGGACTAGGTTGGTATAGGCATCAATCGAAGTATTAAGCCCATCCAGCGACCCAGCAGCAACTCGATGGGGAGCAAAGCCACCACACGTAATTGCCGACCATAGTCTGTCGAGCCTGCCCCGGTCACGTCGATCAGAACTATACAGTGGTAACAGCTGCATAAAAACGACGTAGCCCGGCTCAAAAACAATTATTATGTAAATTTAAACACAGTTTTCTTCTGGTAAGTGCTACACTAAGCGCATTTTTCAGCGTAGTTCTTTGAGATAATACATGCAAGCATTTACGGCAGTAAATTGTGTGCATGGTCAAATACGGCGTGCGCGGCGCGGCGCGCCCATTAGTGTCGACACCGCGGGTAAGAGCGCAAAGGCGCGTGAAGGCCGAGAGGGACACGGCGGGGTTCGTGGATTACGCGATTGGATTCGTTTTTCAGGGTCGTAAGTGCATTGATTTTCTTAGCACCGTATCATTCCGTGCCCATTTGTTTGTTAACAATCTTTTTTTTGGTTTAAGCCGGAAGTCGGTCTCCTTTTGCGTTGGTTTTACGTGTGGGAATGGTGGCTTCCGGTGTCCTGACCGGTCCAAATCGTGAGGTGTGAGTCATGTCATCAGGCGTGGATGTCGGGCGTGTGTTTGGCTCGATGAAATCAGGGTACATTCTGGATTTAATACTTTTTTCAGTCAAAGTGAACTCATTTTTTCCAGAAATGACGAATTTGGAGACAGAGTTGTGCTGTACAGATTGCAATCAGTGATGAATTCACTGAAGGAGTATTGCTAATAATTGGATTAGTACATGGTTAAACTTATTTTTCAGCTTATTTTCATGTGTAAGAGGATCAATATGTTTTGTCTCTTTCTGCACAAACTTTTGGGTCTGCTTTTGAAGCGCCAGCTACCTGAGCCACCCTTTGTTACATGGTACTACCTCACTGCCTGAAATGGATGCTACAGTGCCCTGCACAGCAGCAACATTTTAGCAAGATCTGGAGTGAATGACTTGGTGTATCTGAGCTTCTAGAGTTTGTTGCACAGATTCTTCCAATGTCCGTGTTAAAACGGCAGTGTTTCAGGTGATTATAAAGTTCAGGTGATTATAAAGTTTGGGGAAAAATACTGTGAAAGCTTCTTGTAGTGCAAAAAAAGATATTTTGAAAGTGCATTGCAAGCTGCCCTGGCCTGATTTGGTTGCTTATGGGGACAAAGTTAAGCACATCAATGTTGCTTAGATATCTAGTGAGGTGGATGCATTTTGTGCAAACTGGATTCCACTTGGTAAGTGGTCTATAAGCTCAAAAATGTGATTTAGGTAAAAAGAAATAACCTATCTTTTTTACAGCATTCTCACATCCCCATTTTTACTTAGCATGTTTTGCTTTATGCATGTGAATAATAGTTTTTATATTTGACAGTTAGTTATCTGAATCATCTGCAAACAATACTATAGGCCCATGCCATTTTTTGCCTTTTAGTTGGTCAGTTCTTTTTTAGAGAGGTAGACCTATCAGACTCAGACTGCAAAGGTCAACTTTATGCAGAAGACCATTTTCTTTGCAGTGTTAATGTTCCTACAGCAATTTTGGCGCATAGAGACACTTTTTAAAGGAATTACAATGTTGTAAAGGTGGGGTCTGGCAAACATGTTCCAACAATATCTTTAACAACAATGACTTAAAAATGTTGCCATAACTCAGCCTGACCTGAGTTGAGCATACAAGCACAAGGTTCAGTGCACCATTGTCCTGTAGGCATGTGATGCAGGGGATGCATTTGTTATGCACTGGCACCAGACTAACACAGAGTGCAAAGTATATATACTTGCCAACATATGTAGGTTAACAGTCAAATTACATGAGTGATAAAGTGCAAACTTGAAGTTGCAATAGTGAAACAGTTACAGTTGTACTGGGCCCACTATGCACACACTCATCCTCAAACACTCATGGGGTTCCAGCACATTGCATTACAGGCCAAACTACAAGATTTCATCCAGTTGCATGGCTGGCAGCCAGGCATCCTTAATGGCTCATGTGACTAGGTGCTATGAGGAAAAAGTCCTACTTGTCATTTTCAATAGTTTTGGGTTTGTTTGCATTAGAGAGAGCACCAGATTTAGTTTGGCTTTGTGATTTAGGGGAATGATACTGAACATGTAGTTTGGTATCACTGTGTACCTACAAGACATGTGTTTGACTTGGGCTAGAGTTTGAGTCAACTTGATAACCCAAGCTTTATGATCCTCAGGATATGTTTCAAAACATGTGAGTTGCTCAGTAGTTGTGTTAACCATATAACATTGAATCATTGGTGGAACAATTCAGTCACATATTTACAACAGATATCCTCATGTTAGCTTCTATATATGTAACAAATGGATATGTGGGTTGCTGTATTATTGTCATGTCATGTCATGAAGTGTTGTCATGTGATTTACCTCCATCAGAACCCTTTTCCTGAAACACAGGAAGTCTTCTCAAGTTGGAGTCAGAGTTGACTCAAGGTTTCACTCTGCTGCATAGAATCGGGGTTAGGAATAAGCCCATGCACTATGTGTTGGAGGCATAATCAATTCTGCTGGAGTGGAGTTGAACATAACATTTTGCTGGTTATGAAGCACAGAACAGGTGCATGATTTGATGTAATCTGACATGGAAATGTCAGCTGGGAGCCATCCAAAACAAGTCAATGTGGTCTGGGTTATCCTCATTATACCATTTCATTATATCAGCTGATCCTTGAATTTAAATGTCAAGACTGACATGCTGGGCTCACAGTATTTAACAAGCATGCTTGATCGGAGCTCCGCAGGCACAGCCACTCATGGCAAAGCTTTTGAAACATTGGAAAGAATATTGCTACCACAAATTGCGTGACAAATCCGGTGAAATTCCAATGTCACTACTGATAGCTGCATTGCATTTTCGTTTCATAGCCATGAACACCGACTGGTGTTGCCTGATGCCTGCTTAATGATACGTCCTTTGTCTCGTGGTGCGCTCCCCATGTGTCACGACCTCACTCGTCACGTGACACCGACCGTCGGCAGACCGGCCACCGTGTGACCTGCGCAGCACCACAGCCAGCATGAGCAGCGGCGGCGGACACGGCTCCGGTCGGAGCGGTCGGCCGAAGGCGGACCGCGCCGCCAGGGAGGCCAAACACAACGGCAGCGCGCCCGGCGGCGACAAGGCCAAGACGCCCACCAGCGCGAAACAGGTGCGGGTGGGACGCTGGGGCGGGCGGCAGGTCAGCGGTGTGCCACGCTCTCGGCGTGGGGCGAGGGTTGTGGACCCTGCTCTCTGGGGGCGAGTCCCGCCGCGCCCCGAAAGCTCGCTCCCGGTATCCTCCCGGACGTGGTCATGTTAAAGTGAGCCCGGCCGTGGCCGTGTCGGGTTTTGCGTGACGTGTGCCGCGACACCTATCAGATATCGCAAAACACTGCCTGGCAAGCATCGTGCCGGAGGCAGAGCGAAAGGGCGACGGAACATCACGAAGCAATCTCGGTCGCTCCGGTGACGTGCAGCATACACAAATCACGTGGCTTCACTGCGGCGTCATCGCTCCCTCTGGCGGCGCGTGCATCCCGGCCTTGCTTGTCTTCGGTGCACTTGCTCCGGCCAGCCACGCCCTAGAGGCTGGCGCCGATGCGCCCCAATGATGCGCGACGCTTTCGCCTCCTGCTAGACGGCCCGTTTGCGCAGAGCGCCGTTCAACTCAATGTATATGTCGTTTATTATGTTGGAGCTAAAGTGACGCCACGCTGCTTACTGCGTAGGTGTAACTGAAAGAAGGCGGTTTATTCCGCGGCTAAGTGGATGCCAGGACCAATATAATGAAAATGGCACTGCGCACACGAAGTGCACATGGTGCTTCAAAGTCTGTACCAGTATCGGCTCGAAAATCCAGCTGAGTCACTTTTTGAATATTTGAACCAGTATCAGTCTGGAGCCACTTGTTTTGTCACAATTTCGACCAATGGATAAAGGAATGTAATTTCCTTGGTTGCTCTGGAAGACTGTGACATTGAGTCGCTATCCTATCAGATGACGGTTTAAACGCAAATCGATAAAACATTGCGGGGTCCGACTGGTATTTCGTTTGAAAAGTTAAGGAGTGCATAGTTGTCTCGTTTTTGTACTGCGATGTGAGATTTAGAAAGCAAGATGCATGTTGCAGGTAAGTGGACGGTTGCGACCAACCAGTCGGGAGCATAGATGTACCACAAAAGCACATTAACTGAACATAGAGGCGTGCATTTTAGTTGGGCATTGGGTGGCAGAGTTTGATTAACACATTCTACGTAATTTAGATCCGCCTAATTTCTACGTAGTGCTGATAACCTCTCAAAGGTAACAGCTCAGGAATGTGTTTCCTGACCCGGTGTTGCTTGGCTTAGGCCCGCTGATCCGCATTGGTGGCGGAATTTCCCACCTCCCCTTCGCTGCACGCTGCTAGTGTTTCTAGGCCTGATGAAATCGAGTTTGCTGCTTGATCTGTAATCGTAGCGAGAAAATACAGCGCAAGATGGCCTAAGTGGTTGACGCACCCCACAGTCCTAAGAGAAAGGCTCTCTGGAGCTTTATCTGAACTAAGCTGGATTTGTGTTGTGCATTGATCAACAAGCGCCAGATGAATCGATGGCAGATGTGCGCTGCCGTGCCCGCTGCTTGATTTCGAAACCAAGGGGCCCATTCAAGACGGTGGCCTACAATAATCGCGCGATTTGCGACAGCCGTACACATAGCATCCTCCGCTAATGATAGGGAAATGTTGGTATTTGCGCGTTCACTGATGCGGGCACCATTGTGATGTCACTAACGAGCCTCGCGTTTTAAAGCAGGTTGCCATTCTAACGATTTTCGTTTCTGGGTGACCTGCTCGCTATTCACGGTTCCAATCCATCGTAAGTGGTTGTCGGCGCTCTCCTTGCGGGGGGAAGCAATTATCGCTAAGTAATATTACTGAGACCCGTCCACGCGCCATCGTGCGGGCGATCTGTTCCCGGTGTCGACCGGTCATTCCTCCCGACGCCTGGCAGACAAAGCCGTCTCATATCATTATCCTCGTTCGTCGTCGTATCGCTCGGTTGCTGGGCAGGTTTCGAATGCGCGACGAGGATATTAGATTGCTGGAAGGTGTTGGGTGGGGGGGGGGGGGGGGTGACTGCCCCCCACGCCGCATCACACAAGTCAGGACACAGTCACAACACTCCTAAAAAATATTTGAACCCTTAAAATCAAAGTGTTTTAGCTAAAAGTTTCGGTGTTTTCTATTGAACAATTGCGTAATAGAAATTGCTCAATTGCTCAATAGTTGGTTAGTAGGCTGATGCATACCAACCAACGGACCTTTCGTCTCAATCGACCGGTCCTGACACATGCCGCCACAGTCTCCCTTCCACGTTGTTCAGCCATGCTAGTCTCCGTGCCTCGGCTGGTCCGAAGCGACCTCCATTCGGCACGACTGGGCGGCAACATGCTGATCTCCCCCCAGCATCATGGGCCGTCACCTCCGCCTGGGCCCTGTCCCCTGGCACCCCCCCCCCCCCCCCCCCCTCAGATCGCCTCCCCTGGTGTCACGGCCCGTCACTGCCTGGTTACTGTCCTCCCGCCACCCGGCTTGGCCAAAGCCGACGTCATTCTCCTCGCGTCGCTGCACCTAAACAACATCCGCCGGCTCACATGACCCCGGCTCACCTTCTGACGCGCCCATGGGGTACGGTCGATAGTGGATGCGGTGCAGCGCGCCCTGCATACAGCTGCAAACCGTGGTCACGCCGGCCTGCCGTATCACGCGACGGCTTCCCGTGCTGTCGTCCGGGCCGGCAGGCTCATGCTTGTAGGGCGGTGGTGCCATAAAATGGACAAGTCTGTTTTGTTTGAGTTGTTGGTGCTCGCGAATCGCGCTTCAAAGGAACGCTTTGCAGGCGCTTGGCTCTGTGATTTGTCTTAAGCATTTAATCTCTTTTCAGGCACGACCGTGTCATTGGCATATTGGGACGTAGCAAGCCCCCGTGTACACTAGGACCGTTCATGGAGTAACAGCAGCATTGACGTGTTTTTTCTAGACATGTTTTGCAGACAACTGCCAGTACGCTGTCTTTTGGGTGCGATCAGGATGCTCACGTGAATCAAAGCTGCACCAAACCAGCCGCGGATGTCTGGGGCTTGTCGAAAATTGATGATGAGTTCTCACAGTGGTCCATAAATGACCCAGAGCCACGCCAGCAGTGCCGTGGTACAGAAGAGGTTTCACGATGCCGATGCTCTCAGGCCAGACGGCGACCTTTTAGATCGGCTATTTGTGCACTGTGTTCTGTTAAATCATGCATCCGTATTTCCGTGGCTCGAGCACAGTGAAGGACAAAAAAAATTGCTTTCCTGAAAACATGGGGCTTATCGAGACAAACCCGGTAAGGCGCGGTCTGCGCAAGGTGGGCATGCTATTGAAAGCTCGCGTGACTCGATGTATTCAGCGCTTTGAACCAAGTCTGTGCCGTGTATTGTGACGTGTGGGAGGTATGTCGGCGCGTGTCGTGCGTGCCGCGCCCCGTCGGCGGATGACCGCACTCTGACCCGTCTGTTCGCAGCGCGAGGATAGGGTGTACGAAGACAAAATCAGCCAGGTGGTCCAGCTCACAGGCAAGACGAAAGACGAGGCTGTCATAGCGCTGTACGACTGTGATGACGACCCCAACCGAGCAATCAACATGCTGCTGGAGGGCGATGACCAGGCAAGTGCCGACACGCCGTGGTGGCGCACGGGATGTTCGGCTTCTTCCTATGCTTACGAAATCCCTTCGGCCTACCCACATTGGCCAGAATTATCACGACATCCGTCCCTTAGACTGGCAGTGGACGCTTCTAGTTAAGGATATTGTTTCCGCATCCACTGACAGTTGTATCGTACGTGTCTGAACGTTTGTTATTGCTATTGTGGGCGTTATTTAAACTGGTTACTCAGTTCAGAGCTTTGGATGACTGTGAGTCTGAGTCTGAGTCTAGAAAGGGGATCTTCGACAAAGAGCCCGTGCGGTTTCAACATAAAATCAAGTCTGTTTTCGTTGCCCACACGCACAAGCTCACCGAAGCTATCGCAACATCATCGCTAGCGCCCGTAACGCTCGTCTCCGCCGCGTGGCCAGGGCGAGTGGGTGGAGCAGACGAAGAAGAAGAAGCCGCCGAAGCCGAGTCAGCCGGAGCCGAAGTCGTCGGGGTCGGCGGCGGACGAGGCGCGGCCGGAGGAGGCGGCCGGCTGGGACCGGCCGCGCTCCAGCGGCACCCAGCCGCCGCGACTGCGGCGCGGCGGCGTCTCCGACCGCAGCTGTGAGTGCGGCCCGGCCGCCCCCGCCGGCCCGCGGCGCCGGCGCCGGTGCTGGCCCAGCGGCGACGCGATGGCGCCGTGGCGGTCCGCTGGCGCTGCCATTCGTGGATCACGTGATGGCGTCAGGTCGGGTTGGGATGGGCAGGTTTAGCCCTCAAAATGTACTCGTCCCACAGCGGCCGCGGTGAGATCTGCCCCCGATAATGTCATCAGGCTCCAAGACTAATAATGCCAAAAACAGAATTTAAATGGTGACTGCAGGTCACAGTTGTTTAAGATGGTGTGCGACCCCTTGCGCAGGCTTTGTGGCCGATTGTGTGTTCTGTCTAAGTCAAGTGAGATCGGGTTTTGTCCGCACAATGTACCGTACATGCTTCGCAATTTCCTCCTGGGCCTGCAGCATTATAGAACAACTGTCATAACTTGTTTCCGATTTCGGTGTTCTTGTGTGGGAAGTATTAAACCTCAGTATGAAGGCGGCGAGATATCAGATACGTCAGTTTCTTCGCCGTACGCAATTTACAGTCCAGTGACGGGGCAGATTTCCTCCCACCCCGTCCTTTATGAGAAAAGCTGCTAGTCTTGTTGGATGCCGCGCTGCGCTGCTGCACAAAAGTCTCACCCTACTTACCCGATATCCGTTAAACATCCCCCGAAAGGTGGACCTGCCTGAAGCTTGTGCAGGGAAGGAAAATGTAACTACATGGTTGCTTGAGGCTCTCCCAGGTTTGAATATTGTCTTGCGGGTTGGCAACCGCTGTTGCAGAACCTGTGTGGTGTCTGCACATCCGTAGACTGACAGGCTATTCCCCTCACAGGGAAGACGCGCGAGAGCTGGGAGAACGAGAAGAACGCCGCCGGCTGGGAGGGTCGGAGCGGTGCGGCGCGCGGTGGCCGCGGCGGCCGGCGGGGCGGGCGCGGCTCGCGCGGTGGCCCGCCGCGCGCCCGCGCCGCCGCCGCCGCCGCCGGCGACGCGTGGGCGAGCGCGGCACCGGCCGACGACTGGGGTACCTCCTTCCCGGCCGCCGACGACTGGGACAACGGCGAATGGGGCGGCTCGCTCTCCGATACCAAGGTGTTCACGGCCAGCGCGCCGACGGCGGACGCGCCGCCCGCCGCCGCGCTCGGTCCTAACCTCCAGCTGGGCTCGCTCGTCGAGCCCAGCGACGCGACGGCGGCCGGCAGCGGCGCGCCGACGTACTCACAGCTGGCGTCGGCGTCGGCAGGTGGCGCGCGGGCGCCGCCGGCTGGTCCGCTCAGCTATAGCAACGCCATCACGCGGTCCATACAGCCGGCGGCGACCCCGCCGGTGCGCATGGGCGACCAGCAGGGCGGCGGTCAGCTGCCGGTGGCGGCGGAGTCGGCGGCACAGCCGCTGGTCAGCGCGGCGGGATACCCCAGCCAGCAGCAGACCAGCGCGGCCGCCGACCAGCCGTCCAGCGCGCCAGCCTACCCGTCGCAGCTGCCGGTCGCAGCGTCGGCGTACTCTGAGCAGACGAACAGCTCCTCCGTCTACTCGTCCGAGCAGACGAGCAGCTCGTCCGTCTATGCATCCCAGCAGCCGGCCGGCAGCTCCGGCTACTCAGCCCAGCAGCCGGCCAGCAGCTCCGGCTACTCGTCCCAGCAGGCGTCCGGCGCGCCCGGCTTCGCTTCGCAGCCATCGACCGGCGCGCTGGGCTACGCCTCGCAGGCAGCGGCCGGCCCGCCAGCGGGCGCGGCGCCGTCGTCGGTCGGCGCGGCGCAGCAGCCCATCAGCTCTGCCGGCTACCAGACGCTGCAGCCAGCGGCCGCCTCGTTCCCGTCCGGCTACACGACTCCACCTGGTGAGCGACGCCGACGCGACGCCCCCGGGCGCTCGTGACGGAGCGACGGGGCTTTGGAAGGTCATTGGTTTCCTTGGGGAGGGGCGGAGCCTGGTGAAAATGTCTGACGCTGTCACAATTGGTATGTCAGGCCTAGTTTCACTTCGATGTGCTCTTCCCTTTCCGATTTTCATAGGGGTTGAGGGTAACTTGGGAGGGGTTGGGGTGTTGTAGACCCCTACAGCCGACAACTGAATAATGGACCAAATACTGGACGCGTCATGTTTAGCACGTGTTGAAGGCGTGGCGAGGCTGTGTTTGATATCTGGCCTGTAGAGATCAGTGGGAATGGATCAGAATGCCTTTTCCCAGGAACATGTGCGAATGGAGACTGCGATGGCGGTTACGCTTACCTGAGTGCCGGTCCTGGCCGAGGCCCACGTGTGTGACCGTGAGCTCCGGTGTCACAGGTCTGATGTACTCGTCGAGTTTCGCGTCAGCCGGCGGCCTCAGCGGCGGACTGAAGGCGTCAGCGTCCCCGTCAGCCGCCCCCAGCACCTCGCTGTCGCAGGCCATGGCTGGCAGGTCCGGCCGGCCACAGAAGGCGCGGCTCCCTCCACAAGCCAAGGTTAGTGGCGACGGCGTCGTTGGTGAGGGCAAGTAGCATTCAAGCGGGTGTATATCTAGTGGTCTTTACCACAAATGTCTGAAAGCATAAAGCCTGCTGCAGGCCAAAGCACTGTGAATTATTACATTACGCGCAAATTTTATCTATGAGCAGCACGTTGCGTGCACTCATTTGAGCCTTTTCTGCACCGTATTACTGCCCACGTGTGGCGAACTGTGACATCATGTGCCCCGGCCCACTCACGTGCGCTGTGGGGGCCCGGTCGGGCCGCTGAGAGCCGTGCTCTGGTGCTGCCAGATCCCGGACATGGCGGTGGAGATGCCCGGCGACGCCGTCTCCTCGCTGGACGTCAAGTTCGGCGGTTTGGACTTCGGCACGGCCGCCGCCGACCCGGCCGCCTTCCCCAGCGCCGACGCCGACGCCGGCGCCACGTTCGCCGCGCGCGAGCGCAGTCCGGCGCTGGGTCAGCTGGTGTCGGCCGCCGAGCCGGCCAAGGTAAGCGGGCGCCGCGCGCGCCGGTCCGGAGCGGCGGCGGCGGCAGGCGCGGGCGGCGCGCAGAACTGCGGACGTCGGACGGCGCCAGAAACACTCGCTCCGAGATGGCCCCCGCAGCATTGCCACGCTGAGCCCACCGTGTTTCGGATGAACTGTGCTGCCACCGTGGCCTGCGACATATGGTTATGATTCATGTGTTGAGCGTCGTCAGCTGTGCACTCCATTGAACGAAGTGTGTTGGGGGGGAGTATGCTCGTTGCGAGTGGCTTTGTAACTTAAACTAGTTACGCTGTTCGCATCACGTGGACGGAGTGCAGGGGCCATGTGGAGTTTCGGCCTGGTGCTAATTTTGGATGAGTGATTAAAGTACTGAATTGCGTCCTGGCACCCGCTGCTCCGAGTTTACCTCGGCCTGCTGGAGTCAGTCGTGCTCCCGCCGCGGCGGCGGCTGCTGCTGTCGGACGGTCCGTGATCCGAGCCAGCGCCTGACGCCAGCCTCCGCACGGGCAGGACTCGCGGGACACAGCCTCGGCGTCGTTCTCTGGCGCCGGCGGCGGCGGCGGCGCGACCGCCTCCTCCTCCTCCTCCAGCGGCGCGCCGGGCATGTACCTGGGCTCGGCGGCGGCGCCGGAGCCGGCCAGCGCCTCCTTCGCCCAGCTGCCGACGTCGGCGGGCTCGGCGCCGGCCGGCTTCAGTCAGACGACGCCGGCGCCCGCCGCCGCCGGCTACGGCTCGGCCGAGGGCGGCGCCGCCGGCTTCTCGGCCGGTGGCGCGCTCGGCGGCCACGCCGCCTACAGCAACGGCACGTTGCTGCCCGAGCGGCTCGGCGCGCCAGCTAAGACGAGCCAGGTGCGTGCGGCGACCGTGACGCACCGCGCCGCTGTGACGTACCGTGCGCATGACCAGCCGGTCGCTGCGTGGACATGTCCCTGTTGTGTTCAGCGCCAGGGATGACACGCCAAGCCTGTGTGGAGCGTCACGATTGTCCGCCACCCTCTGTGACGGTCGCGAGATGCCTCGCCCGGCGGTGAGGTCGCTGCCGGCGGCCGTGTGCCGGAGGGGACCGGTGCGCTCTCGCTCCCCCGCTGCCGCCGTGACGCCGCGCCGCCTGTCCGCAGTACGAGCCGGCGTCGAGCGGCGGATCGGCGCTGACGTCGGCCGTCTCGTCGACGGCGTCAGCATCGCCGGCAGGCCTGGGCGGCTCCTCCAGCGGCGGGCGTGCTCCTCACACGGCTACCAGTACGTCCCGTCCGCCGCCCCGTGGAGGGCACTGCGGCATGACCGCTCTCGGCACCTGCAGAGGGGTCACGCGAACACGATCGCGTCCCCGTGTGTGCGTGGCGGGGGGGGGGGTGTTATGTGACGTGTCGTGTGCAGTCTCAAGCTGTGTCGGAGCCGGTGTCATTGTACCTCGCTGGGGAGAACCGCTGCCATCAGCCCTCTCAACACGGACTTCTCGTTGTGTAGATGGGACTGTATTAATAGCAGCATTCCTCGTAGAATGACTAGGAGAATAGAGAGATGTGATATTTCGGTTGCATGCCTTTATCGAACAAGCATCAGTGCTGTGCTGCAGCAGTATCAGTGCTGATATTCGTTTCAATAAAGGCATGTCTTCGAAATATCACATCTATCTCTCCATTTTCTTGGGTATTCTACGAGGAATGAGACTATTAGCACTCTCATCTGTGTGCGTAATGTTCCTTGCTAAGGCACTCAAAACCTTACGTGGCTTCTCGGTGCGTTGGTATCCGCCTTATATGGTGCAATTCATGTTCAGCTCGTGTGCGCCGTGAGTTGTTCCCGCCTGTCGTAATCTGGGCATCGCTTGGAGATGTTACCTTATCTGCCCTGTGCCTAGTCCTGTCAGTCGATGACGTCTCTTTGAAATTCCCCTCGTTTATCGTCTGTCCTGCACCGGCGAATGAACGGCCCAGTCCGGTGTTGTTCCGTCGGTCGATCTGACGGCTGTTGCCGCGTCGATCCTCTCCTCTGCCGCCTGCCCGTCTGCTTGCGGACGACTCTGCCCTGTTCCGCGCCCCTCCCTTGCCCGTCTACCTGCAGACGACTCCGCCGTGTTCCGCGCCCCTCCCCTGCCCGTCTGCCTGCGGACGACTCTGCCCTGTTCCGCGCCCCTCCCCTGCCCGTCTGCCTGCGGATGACTCTGCCCTGTTCCGCGCCCCTCCCCTGCCCGTCTACCTGCAGACGACTCTGCCCTGTTCCGCGCCCCTCCCCTGCCCGTCTGCCTGCGGACGACTCTGCCCTGTTCCGCGCCCCTCCCTTGCCCGTCTACCTGCAGACGACTCTGCCCTGTTCCGCGCCCCTCCCCTGTCCGTCTGCCTGCGGATGACTCTGCCCTGTTCCGCGCCCCTCCCCTGCCCGTCTGCCTGCCGACGACTCTGCCATGGTCCGCGCCCCTCCCCTGCCTGTCTTCCTGCGGACGATTCTGCCGTGGTCCGCGCCTCTCCCCTGCCCGTCTACCCGCGGACGATTCTGCCGTGGTCCGCACCCCTCCCCTGCCCGTCTACCTGCCGACGACTCTGCCGTGGTCCGCGCCGCTCCCTGCCCGGCCGTGTCGCCGGACGGCGGTGCCGCGCGCTCCTCTCCCCGTGCCTGGTGCTGACGGCCGGCGGCCCTGCCGCAGCTCGGCCGGGCGGCGTGCCGGCCGTCCCGCCGGCATTGCCCATGCAGTACTTCCTGGGCCAGACGGCGGGCATGCCGGCCTTCTACCCGGGCATGCAGCCCATCTACAACTACGAGGAGTTGCACGCTCTCCAGCAGCGGCTACCGCACATGGTGAGCGCCGGACATCGGCGGCTGCCGGCTGTGCCCTGCTGTGGACTGCCGCCGCCCGGTCCTCTGCTGTAGAACGCCGCTTGTATGTTCGTTTCTGTGTGTTATTTTTGAAGTGGTCGTTGGTTGGTGACGTCCCGAGATCTCCGTGATTCAGGGGCGCCTGCCGCGCGCACAATCGGCTCACCCTCGCGTTGCAACGTCCCACATTATCGTAAGGCGTTTCTTTGTGGGATTGCTACGTGGCTTCGACTCCGCGCCCCACGCGGACGTGACCCCACCGTGACTCGTGTGACGTCACTGCGTGACACGGATGGGTGTGTGTGTGCAGCAGCAGCAGGCAGCGGCGGGCCAGGGTCGGGCGGACCTGCCGTCCTCGCTCGGCTCCAGCGGCTCCTACTCCCTGAACGATAACAAGTTTGGCCGGCACGACAACTCGTCCCCCGTCCAGTCGGCGCTCAGTCAGCAGCTGAAGGTGCGTGCCCCGAGGAGTGCGCGGGCAACGTGATTTTCTTTTCGCTAGCCGCCGTGGCCCGCGGACGGGCTGTTCGAAGTGAGGTCGGAACGACGTCTTTTGTCTGTCGTTGGCACAAACACGTCTCAAACAAACAACGTATCTCATTGACCCTGACTACACCGGTGCCTGCTACGGTGGAGCTACTCTGGGTGCCGGGGTCTTTCGTGGAACCCGGACCACCCAGTCCCCATTCCTGTTTGTGGTGGCGCGCGCGGTCCGCGCGGCGCCGAGGCTCGGGCGCCGACAATGGACGCGTGCACTCTGCAGCCAGTGCGCCCCGCGATGTCTGTGGTCATGGTGCGGGTCCGCTCGACCACGCGGCGCTCATGACGTCGTGTCGTATGTCTGTCAGCTGAGCGCATGCTCGGACGTCTTGCGTCGGAAAGGCAAAAGAATCTGCACTGCAAAGCTCCTCTTCGTAAATACGTGTGGGAAGCGCTATTGTTGCAAACAATCGCACTTGTGTTCCGCCAGCTGGACGAGTCGCGTTGGCGCCGTGCGCATGCGCGCTAATGCTGCTCAGAATGCATTGGTCTCCGGTCCCTGGATCCGTATACAATCCATTCTTCGGTGTCGTTGTGTCACGACGTGTGAGTGTGCCGTTGCTGCCGTGTGTGTACGCACTTGCTTCCGAGCGTACTCAGCGACGCCTGTTCAAAGCGAATAATCATATGCCTTTGCTTCCAGTCGCATCAGCAGCAGCAGCAACACCACCACCACCAACAGCAGCAGCAACAGCAACAACAGCAGCAACAGCAACAGCAACAGCAGCAGCAGTTCTTCAACCCGGCCGCGATCCCGCCCAACTACACGTATTTCCCATTCATGCCGCAGTACGGCATCTACACGCCCGTGCCGCCGGCGACGGCGGCGCCGGCCTCCTCGGGCGGCGGCCAGTACCAGAAGCTGGCCGGCTTCGGCGCCGGCTCCGCGTTCGGCGGCACTTACGACGGTCTGGGCGGCTCGGCCGGCGACTTCAAGGCGGGCGGCTTCGGCGGCGCCTCGCCGCACAAGGCGGCCGGCGGCGGCGCCGACCTCGGCTCCGGGTACGGCAAGGCGCAGCTGGGCGGCAAGTTCGACAACAAGGCCTACCACACGGGCACGCCGCCGCCGTTCCAGATGGCCGGCCAGGGTCAGAGCGGTGCGTACGGCCAGCACCTGTTCCTGCAGCCGATGCCGGCACAGGCGCACTCGCCGCTCGTGCACGCCGCGCACCAGGAGTCGACGCTGGGCGGCCCGACGCGCGGCGGCCCGCCGGGAAAGCCGACTGGCAAGCCCAGCTACGGCTACTCCTGGCCGGGCAACTAGCGCCGCCGCGACCGTCGGCCGCTGCCGGCGCCGCCGCGCCAGCCGACGCCGGCCCGGCTCGCCGCCCCTCTGTATATCGCTCCGCGGGCGTCCGATGCACTCCGCTCGCGAGAGCGGCGGCCCACCGGTTTCGCCCTCGTGTTTGTGAAATTCTTTTTGGTCATCGGTGTTCGTTTTAGGTATGTAGTAAGTCGCCTGAGCCAGTGTGTACATAGTGTGCTTGATAGGCCCGGCTGGGGGCGCAGTTTGCTTGGTCCGATAATCATGTGTCCGGTACAAAGGTGCTTGGGTCGCCGGGTGCCGTCAGCGGCCACGTCGCAGCCCCGTCTCGGTTGGCCGGTTCGGGCGATCGGGCGGCGCACCCTCACACCTGTGATACTGGTCTGAGCGGGGCCGGCCGGCCGCCGTCCCTCCACCTCTCGCCGTGCGTGGGTAGAACGCGCGCGCCGCGGTCCACGCGCCGCTGCAAGTTACGTGTCGCCACTACTTCTGCTTTCATATTTTGTAAAGCTTTCCCGAAGGTCGTTCTCGGTAAATACAACGCGAAATGGTTCCCGATAAGTGGTTGTGTTTGTGGGGTTCTTTGGCAGCGGTGGAAATGACTGGAATGCTTTGAAACTGTGGCCCGGGTGGTTTGATCTCCAATTCCCACCCCATATCTCTCCATTGGGGTGGCCTCCATCAAACCTGCGCGGGATGTCGCCAGCATTTGCTGTTTTAAAACTGAACGGACTCTGGCGAAAGTGGACAATCTTGAGTCACAGCCGCGCCAGCCTGCGCTCTGGACCTCCGGGTCGCACGGGACCGCGGCAGCACGTCGGCTCACGCCATTACGCCGGTCAGCATTGTTTCGCCGTCGTCCATGTGGTTAACTCAAAAATCAGGAACCGCTGTGCCGATTTCCTCCAGACTAACACTAACCGAAAGCGCGAATGCGGCTCCAAGAGCCATACGGAGACTGGTGACCACAGGTCAAAATCTCCACTTTCAAGACCGCATAAACGACCTTGGGGCATTGCAGTCGAGTCCAAACTCGGAGACCGCTTGAATGATCTCCTTTCAAGCCTTCATCAACAGATAGAGCACCGACGACTTCACCTACCAATATGAAACTAGTGACCTCGGGTCACCAATTTCGCCTTTATGGGCTGCATAGACCACTTTGGACCAATGCAGCTAAGTCTAAACGCGGAAGAAACCTGACCCATCTCAAAACCTTCAGCAAATATAGCACCAACGATTTCATCAGCCGTTCTGGTGCTAGTGATCTCAGGTGACTGGCAAAGGTCTCGATGAGATCGGTCGGGCGGTTTCCCAGTTTGGATATGGCTGCATATCCCAAAGCGATTTTGCGGTTTTTGAAGGTAAAGATACTGGCCTGAGTGAGGTCATTTATTTCATAACTGCTGGTGAGATCGCTGGTACGCCAGCTGCTGGCAAAGGTCTCGGGGAGATCGGTCGAGTGGTTTTCAAGCTTGGACTTGGCTGCAACGCCCCAAAGTGGTTTATGCGGTTTTTGGAGGTCAAGGTAGCGATCTGAGCTAATGAAACCGCATTCTCGCTTTTTATTGGTGTTGATTTTGCGAAAATCGGAACACTTTTTCTGAGTTTGACGTTGGCTGCGTGGATGGCGAAGTGGTGTGGTTCGTAAACAACCGCGTACATGCTCATTGGCAACGCCAATTCAAGACGACTTTGCTATCGGAGAAGTGATAAATGACGGGCTTTGCATCTCAACTTGATCGACTGCTTGAGCACCCCGTCATAAATCCAGAACCATCAAAACTGGGCCTGCAATATCTATTGTAACTTTGTCACGTTGGCGCCATGATGCCGGAGCGTCGCGGCCTACCAGCGTTCGGCCGGCGCCGAGCACACGTGTCAGCTGCCGACCGACACCGGCCTGTCCAGCTTTCGGTCGGCGCCGAGCACACGTGTCGGCTGCCGACCGACACCGGCCTGTCCAGCGTTCGGCCGGCGCCGAGCACACGTGTCAGCTGCCGACCGACACCGGCCTGTCCAGCGTTTGGTCGGCGCCGAGCACACGTGTCGGCTGCCGACCGACACCGGCCTGTCAAGAACGTGTCGTCCATCGGCGGCGTATCATGTGGTATCGACCCCGTCACGCGCCTCGGTGCCGGACAAGCGGTGGGTGGCCGCGGGCGGCCCTTCCCCCGCAGCCCTGAGTGCAGGCAATCGGTGTTGGGCCAACGTTTGGCCGCTTGTGGGTCTGGATGACTCGAACGTGAGCTCGCCGTTATTGGGGGCGGGATGGGAGAGAGATGAGCAGAGGGGTGGCCATGAACACGACATGCGCCACGACACTGGCCGACTGCTGAGTGAAAGTACCCGGCGGTGCCAACGAGTTAACGAGTCATGCTCCGGGAGCATCACTGTTATGTAAGGCGTTTCTTTTACAGGTAGCATTCTCAATCCCAACATTCGATGATTGCGATCAGCATTAGAATGTCCGCGCATGCTCAAATGCCAACTGAAATAAGCACACCAATATTTGAACAGCGAGCTTTCAGACCTGCCCTGCTGTGGCCATGGTAGCCTGCCCTTGATCGAGGACCGAGGGTCTATCGCCTGCGGGTTCGAGCGCCAGAGAAACCAAACTGTACTGCGATGGTGCATATAATGTTGATGTTGTCCGCTCATGACGAAAACAACTCCTCTAGGACGAAAGAAGGATAAAGATGGTAATGTTTACAAAAAGAAGGCTTCGGCAAAAATCAAACGGAATTGAAACAAACAAAAAACTCAATTTTGTATACGCCTGCCGATCAGTAATTTTCCTTGGCTCTGGTCGCCGTCGAGTGCCTGATCGCAATGGCGGACGTCACGCAGTGGGCGGCGTGGGCCACTGTCAGTCATATTTAACAGAGAGTGGACATTTTTGCGTTTAATATGTCCGATATATTTGCCAGAGATATGTCAGACAGCCAGGCGTGTTTGTTTACTCATCCCGCACTTTCAGGAGGCTCCTCAGCAGCCACGATGAGCGTGATGCATGTGGTCAGCGACATAGGTACGCACTTTCTTCTTCTTCTTTTTGCCCGGTCGCGCCCACTAACGCAAAGCCGTCATAATCGAGCCCAGGCTCCGGTTATGAAAGGATTGGCCAGGGCCGGGATTGATGAGGCGTTCTACAGGGGCCCCTGCTATGAATGAGAAGAAGCCGTAATAACGTAACAATTTTGAGGGGAGTGTTCCTAGGTTATGCGGGGTTCTGAGCTGAAACAGACATTTTTAAGATCATTCGACGCAGTTCATAGTCCTGCCTTTCTTAAGGCTTAAAACCCAGGCTTCTGAGCTGTGCGCCGGCGAAGATGTGCAGACTGTTTTGAGCAGACCAATCTAGTGCCATACAGACATGCATGACGCCATGGCAACTTCACTTAAATCCTGTTAACCCATAGCCTCACAGCATTCAAGATTAGGTAAAATACTGTCCCGTAACCGTGCCGATGGGGCGTCCGGAACCGTTATTTTCAAAAAACTGTGTAATAGACCTTACGTTCTCAGTCGAATCTCCGAACACAAGAAGCGCTATCGGCGCTGTTAAGCAAGGAACGTGAACGCCATTCTCTATCCGAGCCCGGTGTTACGTAATATAAGAAGTTGGACATGGTTTCATCATTTGCTACTCATGGCGAATATAAGACTTGTAATCGATTAACTAAGAGCAGCATAATAACCGAGTTTGTGAATACAAGTAACAGTCCTAACCTCACGGATAGATATGCAAGAACACCACGAGAACGGGTCAAAACACGAGCACGATGTTTTGCCCACTCAACACCTACAGCCCGTGCTGCCATCTGTCGACGGGTTTTAAGTATTACAAGTGGCAATTTTGCACGGCTAGTTTGGAAGTGCCTGTGTCGTGCGGCCGCGCGGGCGCACGGCGGGTCAACACTTGTTACATTAATGAAGCCATGTGTAGTGGGCCTATTGACAATGGGTCCCAGGCCCGGCTTTCAGCTGGGCTGGGCAGTGGTTAACCGGCGCGGCCGGCTGTGTTTATGCCTCCGGGTCATTGTCCACATGGCCAGGCCGAGGTCACGTGTGCGGATCGGAGCGGCTGCAGGCTGGAGGTAGGGACGGCCGGTTGAGGTCGGGGATTAAATCTGTCCTGAGCAAGTGCTGGGTGTTGTTGCGCATGTAGTATCCGAGTCGTAATTCAAATACAAGCTATTTCGGCTGCTAAATGCGCAACAACACCCAGCACTTGCTCAGGACAGATTTAACAGATTTAAAACAGCTGTGATGCGTGCCGCTCGATCGACTCAGCGCCGGTGCGGTGTCGACACGGCTTGCTCGGCGCGGCTGCCACGTGGCAGCGCATCGCCATTGACGTAACCCACCACAACGGACATAGTTACCTCACCGTCATCGACTGCGGACCATCCCGTTTCTGCATGCGGCGCCCCCTGCGCCGCGCCGGTGCCGCCGGAGTCGTCGATCACCTGGAACAGCTGTTCCTCGAGCGTGGGGCTCCGGAGGAGGTTTTGGCTGAAAATGACACTGTGTTTCGTGGCCGCCAGGTGGCCGCTCTCACGGCGCGGTGGAGAGTGACCATGAAGTTCCGAGCTGTTCACGAGCCGGGTGGCAACGGAGTGGTAGAACGCTGGCACCGGACCGTTAAGGTCATCGCTGGGAGGCGTTGTACTACGGCCGGGGCGGTCCACCTTTATAATGTGACTCCCCGAGATGGAGAGACGGCGGAGTCCGCGCCAGCGTCGGGAGTATATCGGTACTCTGTACGGGATTGTGTCCGGCCGGTGCCAGCGGGCGCCGCTGAGGCTGGGGAACCACGCCCACCCGTGTCTGACGGTGTGCATCTCAGAGTTGGGGACCGAGTGTCGATGCGTCGCCGAGGCACGCGTTGCACGGAAATGTCGCGTCGCGGGACAGTGACGGGCGTGGTGTCGCGGCAGGTGGTAGAGGTCAACGGAGTGCCGTGGCACGTGGGAGACGTTCGGCCTCAGTGCGGAGGGGGCGAAGACGGCGACGGGGACAGTGACAGTGCCGACGATGGGCCGGCGATGTACGTGTCGTGCGTGGACTGTCAACCGGAGACGGGGGACTATACTGGCGCGGTTGTAGACGCACATGAGCCGGCAGACCGTGCGGTTGGGCCGGCCAGGGACGAGCTGATGCTACTACTCCGGAGCACCCGCCTGCGGAGGGTGCCGCAGCGCTATTGTTGTAATGATCCGTAATGCGCTGCTGTGATCCATGAAAATCAGGGGGGGGGGAGTTGTCGTGCAGCCGCGCGGGCGCGGCCTGGTCAGCGGTTAACCGGCGCGGCCGGCTGTGTTTATGCCTCCGGGCCATTGTCCACGTGACCTGGCCGAGGTCGCGTGTGCGGACCGGAGCGGTCACAGACTGGAGGTAGGGACGGCCGGTTGAGGTCGGGGGTTAAATCTGTCCTGCGCAGGTGCTGGGTGTTGTTGCGCATTTAGTATCCGAATCGTAATTCAAATACAGTACCTCAACGGCGTGCAAACTTTCCACGAGGCAGTGAAACAATGACGTATTGAGGAG